AGCCTAAACCCCAAACCCAAAAACCCTAAATCCATAACAACCCATCTAAACCCTACACCCTACAGAGAGCCCTGCAAAATCCAGAAGCCCGATAGAAGGCCGTGTCACCAGCGTGGACTTGCCGACATTGGGCCGACCCACGACGGCAATGCAGGGCCTCTGGATCACCTCCGGCCTGTTGGCCTGGGACATCAGGGCTTAGGGTTTTGGGTTCTGGGGTTCAGGGCTTAGAGTTTTGGGTTCTGGGGTTCTGGGGTTCAGGGCTTTGGTTTTCGGGTTTGGGGTTTAGGGTTGGGGGTTTTCGCGATTCAGGGTACATGTGTTCACATTTGTGCTTCGATATGTGATGCTTGAAGAGATTCCTTGTGCTACTAATTGTCATTGCTTTGCTTGGTTGCTGCGCAAGGGGCGAACCCTAAACCCTAAGCACTTCAGCGTCTAGGATTTGACCTGTTCGTTTTGGTTTTGGGTTTCCGTGTTTGGGGAACTGCAAGGCAGGGAGTCTCTTTGTTGAAGGGGCGGCTTGAGGGCGAGAGCGGTTTCAGTTTCGGAGCTTTGAGCACAGCACTTATCCAATCGAGGTTCAGGTATCTGGAGGTTCGACTACCTTGGGGCAAGCTTTGACGGCGGGCCAGTTGTTATTACTGCGTAGCTGCACTGCAGACTAAGGCCCATGTAACCCGATGCAAGTACACCACCGGTAGGGTTCTTGTAAGCATAATCTGGTTTGCCATCGACTGATACCCTGCGTTACTTCTAATTCCAAGCGCTGAATCCGCCGACCAACAACACATCGACCAGCGGAATCTGTCAATTACGAAACCTCGCAACTCAACAATGCGAACTGGGGTCTGCAATACCTAAATGGGGGTTTCCCAAAAATAGGGGACCGTAGTATAGTACCCTAAATAGTCGGATCCTTATGATAGGGACCCCAAAATAAGGTACCCCTAATTTTCGGAAAATCCCAAATCGGGCTTTTTCTCAACTGAAACAGCAGTAGCAATCATAGCCTCTTCCGTTCTCCCAAAGCCTGAAGCCTTTACCAAGCTAGAATTCCCCAAGGATCCTGCAGGAAGCATAATCGTAGAAACCCTGCCTCTAACATAAGCACTTCGGTTAACAAAAGTACTTCGGACCTTTGAACATTTGAGAGATACTCCAGATCTCCCTACAGCCAAAACGCCAAGCCCGACGAGCCCTCTGAGCTCCAAAATCCCCTAAAGACGCCTCTAAAGTGTGCTGGTAGCAATCGTACTAAACCCTCAACTCTAAACACTAAACCATCAAGCCTAAACCCTAAACCCTAAACCCTAAACTCTAAACCCTAAACCCTAAACCGTCAACCCGAAACTCTTACTGCGCAGGCCTTCTTTTCCGCGCGGATCTCGGCGACCAGCCGAACAGAGGGAAGGCCGGGGTAGATTTTGTCATCGTTGAAGACCTAAGTGTGTTTAGGGTTCAGGGCTCAGGGCTTAGGGTATAGTATATGGGTAGTTTTCGAAAAAAAAAGTGTCCCTTTTAGGATCCTTTTTTATCAGCGTGCCGTACTATGTTGGGGACCTAAAAAGGGACCCTAGTTTAGAGAACGGCCCATACAGGCTTCGGGGTTAATAGACAATACCATTGTTGAAACTAAGCCCACTTTACTCATGGTTTCGAGGGACCTAACTCCACAAGAGTAGTTTTATGGTTTACGGTTTGAGGGATTACATGGCCTTCGGGTTCGTTTTAGGATTAGGGCGCGTCGCTGCAGCCACAAGGCACTGTACGCTGCACCAAAGCTTGGGTGCAGTGACGAGCTACATCCCATGGGCCCTGTCTTGGCGGCTCTCTGCAGCTTTTACTGCATCCTGGTAGCTCCAACCTGCAGTTTCAACTCGTTCCGCTGCATCGGTCAGATTCTTCACTGCAACATGGACAGCTCCAACATCGGTTCGTCTTGTTGCATGCTCGTCGGGACGGCGAGCGAGTCAACCATTACCCCGGAAACGCTGTTCAGCAAAGCGTCAAGGATACTGCAAGGGATACGAAGGGCCTTAATAATTAGAACAGGTTTTGGAGCCCACTATGCTATAAATACAACAAGGAGCCCCCAAAAATAATATTGGTACTTATTTAGGCCCCTACATTCCCTACATTACCGACCGGAAGGTTCCCAAGCACGTCCCAGGAGGTGGGACATGCAACAAAACAGCAGTTCAGCACAACAACGGCGACAGCAAGTAATTACCAAAAAGGCTTGAGTATGGCATGTGTAGTTAGTATAAGTCTTGCGGGGCAAATGCCACAAAACCCGCTTCGAATCATGAAGGCTCCTATATTTACGTAGTTTCAACAAATCCTTAAAGTGGCATTCTGACTCGGAAGTCATCCTGGCGCCGACCTCCCAGATCACGCAGCCCGGCACCTCCTGAAACACAAAATAGTACGGCACCCTTATAATAAAAAGGAGCCGCAAACAGACCCTAGTTTCGAGAACTACCCATATCGCAGACCGCATAGCTACTACCAATATTCCT